CAGCATCGCCCTCATCGTCCTAATTATCCTCATCATCACCAAAGTCTCCATCATTATAATCAGCAGCAGCCTCATCACCATCATCATCGCAGTCATCATCAGCAGCAACATGTTCATTACCATCAACATCATCAGCAGCAGCAACACCAATATTACATCATCATAACCGTCGTCGTCGTCTTCACCATCAGCATCACCATCATCCTTATCATCATGAGCATCATGAGCATCATAACCATCATCAGCATCAGCATCTTCATTATCATCATCATCATCATCATCATCACCACCATCATCATCATCATCATCATCATCATCATCATCATCATCATCATCATCATCATCATCATCATCCGCAGCAGCATCGTCGTCGTCGCCGTCGTCGTCGTCATCGTCGTCGTCCTCGTCCTCGTCGTCCTCGTCCTCGTCGTCGTCGTCGTCGTCATCGTCGGTCGTCGGTCGTCGTCGTCGTCGTCGTCATCGTCGTCGTCGTCGTCGTCGTCGTCGTCGTCGTCGTCGTCCTCGTCCTCGTCGTCGTCATCGTCGGTCGTCGTCGTCGTCGTCGTCGGTCGTCGTCGTCGTCGTCGTCGTCGTCGTCGTCGTCGTCGTCGTCGTCGTCGTCGCAACTCATCACCAGCGGCATCGTCGCCATCCGCAGTGACGTTGGCTCGGGCGACGGGCTCCCTGCCCTGCCTGCGGTCCACCGCCCAGGCTTCGGAGGCGGAGGCGGAGGCGGAGGCGGAGGCGGAGGAGGAGGAGGAGGAGGCGGAGGAGGAGGTAGAGGGGGAGGAGGAGGAGGAGGAGGAGGAGGAGGTGGAGGAGGAGGAGGAGGAGGAGGAGGAGGATGGAGGAGGAGGAGGAGGAGGAGGAGGAGGAGGCGGAGGAGGAGGAGGTGTAGGAGGAGGAGAGAAGAGGTAGAGGAGGAGGAGAAGGAGGAGGAGGAGGAGGCGGAGGCGGAGGCCTGCTGCCATGCACCCGGCGCGCCGCGCGGCCCGCACGCGTGCGCGCCACGCCTGTGCGATGCCCCTGCGCGGGGCCCTTCGGGCCGCCCCCGGCGCGCGCCGCTGCGGCGGGCGACTGCCGGGGCGGCGAGGAGGGGGAGGAGGAGGAGGAGGGGGGAGGAGGAGGGAGAGGAGGAGGAGGAGGGGGAGGAGAGGGGCGAGGGAGGAGGAGAGGGAGGAGGAGGGAGGAGGGAGGAGGGAGGAGGAGGAGAAGGAGGAGGAGGGGGAGGAGAAAGGAGGGAGGAGGGAGGAGGGAGGAGGAGGAGGGAGGAGACAGGGGGAGGACGAGGAGGTGGAGGAAGGAGGAGGAGGAGGAGGAGGAGGAGGACGAAGAGGAGGGGGGGAGGAGAAGGAGGAGAAGGGAGAGAGGGAGGAGGAGGAGGAGGAGGAGGAAGGAGGAGGAGGAAGGGAGGTAGGAGGAGGGAGGAGGAGGAGGAGGCATGGAGGGGGAGGAGGGAGGAGGGGAGGAGAGGAAAGAGGAGGAGGAGGAGGAGGAGGAGGAGGAGGAGGAGGAGGAGGAGGAGGAGGAGGAGCGGAGGCTGCTGAAGGAGGACGGCATGCCGCGGCTGAGCCGGACATGGAGTACAGTCGGACGTAGGAGCTCGACGACAAGCTTGAACTGGCGCTTGAGCGGAGGCTGCTGGCGCGGCTGCCGCGGCGGAAGGCTCGGGCGGCGCGTGGGACTCCGACACGGACTATCCCGGCATGCCGCGGCTGACGCCGCCCTCGGCCGCGTGCGGGGACATGGAGTACAGTCGGACCTACAGTAGGAGCTCGACGACAAGAAACGTTCCGCAACAAACCCAACCCTGAGACCCCAGGGCGTCCATTGATTTCTCGTGTGGGAACGTCGCGCTTTCCATAGCAGAACCATTGAAACCCAAGAAACCCAGGGCACCCTGGAGGCAAGCAGGGTGTTTCTTGGCATGATCATCGTCATCATCGTCCTCATCATCACCAGCATCATCATCATCATCATCATCCTCCTCCTCCTCCTCCTCCTCGTACTCCTCCTCCTAATCCTTCTCCTCCTCCCCACTACTCTCCTCGACCTCATCCCTCCCATCATCCCCCTCTGTTCCGGAGGCCCCAGTGGCCACCGCTGGGCTCCCCTGGACATCCTCGCCGGGACCCACCCCAGGCCTAGGGGGCAAGGGGCGGCAGCGCTCGATGCGTGCCCCCCCAACCCAGCTTCGACCCCATCACGAAGCCCCTCCCGGCAGGAGCGGGCAGACAAGCCTCCCGCGCGGTGAAGACTGGGGATTTCGCGGGCCGTCACTCGGCGTTTCGACATCGGGCGGAAGGGGGGGAAGGGGAGGGGGAGGGGTCTGGTGCCGGACCTCTGCTTCACGCCACGGTTTGCCAACAGTGCGTCATATATGGGGGAGACCCCGCCTGCTCGGAACAGGCGCCCAAACCAGCCAAGATCTACTCCATGGGGGGGGAGGGGGTGGGTGGGACCAGGGGACAACGCCGATAGGCGAAACAGTGAATAAGAAAACGATCACGTGCTGAGGCTGTGTTGGGGGTGTTTGGGGTTCCTCTTGCGCGGTCCTGGGGCCCTATTGGGCCCCCTTGAGCGCCTCAGGGCCGTATTGGGAGCCTCCTGGGGCCACCTGAGGCCCCGCGTAGGCTCTCTTGAACTCATCTTGGGCCGTCTTGAGCTCCTCCTCGGGCCCTCTGGGGCCGTTTTGAAGCCCTCTTGGACTGTCTTGGGTGCCTTCTGCGGTCGTTCTGGGCTGTCCTGGAGGGTGTTTGGGGCCTCTTGGGCCGACGTGGGCGTCCTGAGCGGCGGAATAGCAAGCATCCTTAAACATTCCAAACCCACTAGGAAACGAACGATTTGCGCATCTCGGGGACCTCCCAAGGGTCCTTTCAGAGCTCCCGGGGACCATCTAGGGAGCCTCTTTGCAGCCGTTCTGGGCTGTCTGGAGTAGTTTTGAAGCCTTCGAAACTATGATTGGGGCCACTGGTGTCTTGTCGCTTAGATCGCATGTTTCAACTCGCTGCCATAAAGGGCGATGGGGGGGGGGGCGGCCATAACGGACGTTATGGAGGTTTGCGCCCCCCCAGACTGTGGTGCCAGACGCACTGCGGCAGTGCCAAGGACGCACTGAGGGGGGGAGCGTTACGTTATGGGGGGGAAGGGGCTGGGGAGGGTAGGGTGCATACCGCGCGTTCTGGCCCGGAGGGAAAAAAAACTCTCTTACCCGTGCCGCCTTTGGGATTCCCGGCGCTCTCTGAGCTCCTTCCAGGGCTGTCTTGAGAGGCCAGGCAGAGGCCCAGGAGGCCCCGTGCCCAAAGGAGAGGTTGGGGGTCCCAGCTGTTGGACCCCCATTTTCCGTCCCCCGCTTGATGCATATAGACATACATACGCAATGGCGTCGGTCATGGTGAACAACCGTGGCACGAGATCGTTACGCGACGACGCGCAACTACTGTGACGAAGATTGAACCGAAGGCTTGCTTCGGCACGGGCACCTCTCTTCGCCCCTGTTCAGGTTGGTGCCGTTCCGGAGGCGGCACATGAGCGGCGTAACCGCCATCTCAGTCTCGGACAGCGTGTCCTCGCAGTCAGAACGAGAAGAGCGTATGCGGGAGCACCCTCCCAATGGGTACGGCAGACGCGCCTACGCCAAGCTACCCTCGAAGGCATTTCACTACCAGGAAATGAATAAGAGTCGTCATGCCAACCACAAGGAACGCTGAATATAAGGAACGAAGATGCCTCTCTCCACGGCAAGCCTCGGCCACAAATGGGTCCCAGACCTGGATCGAAGGAACCCCTCGTGGCCCCCAAGCGGCCCATCTTCCAGCGCGGTGACGGTGCACAAACGGCTGGACTCAGTGGCCGAGCATGGGCCACACGCTGGATGCGAATGCGGAGGGCGGGCGGGTGCACCTGGCCACACGAGGGCCGAGCGCTGGCAAGACACGCGGCCACAGGTACATCCAGCTCCAGCTCGGCTCAGCCGCGGCACGAGTGCAGAAGGGCACCGCTCGGGGTCGCCGGCCCTGCGCTGCACCCCGCGAGGATCACCTCCGAGGATCCCGAGAGCGTGGGTTGGCGCCGACGTGCGCTGGTTCACGGGAGCCCTTCAACGCGACGCAGGCGGTGCAACGATGGCCGACACAGGCCGAGCGGGACAACACACACACACACACACATTGGGCTAACACACGTCTGGAGAGCCATCGATACCTGTGAGGGCCGTCGGGTCTGGAGAAACCAAAAGGTAACAGCACCGCTACTCCCAGGACCTCTTCCAGGGCGCGTCCTGAGCAGAAGTTCGAGGCGAACCCGGCCGTGGCAACGCGGAGCTCCCAGGAAGCCCAAAGAGGCTCAAACGAGTGAATGGCAGCGGCATCGAGGAAGTTATCCTTGTCTCAGGGGCGGAGGACGAGGCTAGCGAGGCGGGACTAGGACGGTGGCCTCTCCCCAACGAGAGAAGACCAACAAGAGAATAACAGCTGACGACCACGCGCGCACGCACACGCGAGAAAGAGAGAGAGAGAGAGACAGATTATGGCGAATCAGCTCGGCACGACGAAACCGAGTCCTGCGAAGGCACCCCAGATCGGGTCCGAGCAGATGGGATCGAACCCCACCTGGGAGACCTGCTTCCTTTGGCGGCGCGCACAAGGGTGTGGGGGGAGGGGGGGAGGACTTCTCAGACGAAGGCTGCTCCTGAGAAGGCGCTGGCCTTACACCTATAGATAAGGCCCGCGCCTTTTGAGAAGCAAGGGTGCTTCTGAGACGCCTTCACCCCCTCCCCCTAACCCCCCTCTGCGCGTGGCCGAGTGGGGATGACATCAGAGTGGCACTGCTGAAGAAGCACCAGGAACGAAGGAGCAAAACGCTGACGGGCTCCCAACGAAAGCGAGTCTCACTGCACCGACCTTGCAGACGTGCTGCAGCAAATTGTTGCGTGGATTTCTGCCAGTGCAAAACCCCGAAACGGCGAGCGAAAAAAGAAGTGAATTTCACATGACTTTTATGAGTCTTCTTTCCTGACCAAAACAAACCCGAACGAAATTCACCTCGAAATCCGGAACGAAATTCTCCAGGACACTCCGGGGCCATCGCATCGTCTTCCGAACGAAATCCGATCTACGATGTTGGTTCCATGACGTGTCATCGATGCCCCAGCGGGCGGGGGATATGGATGTATATTGCCCCCCGTGGGCTCGAATCTATCCATATCCACCGCCTGCAGAGGTCTCCGAAAACTGATCCTCCAGGCGGTTATCATGTATAAATCCCCGCCTCGGACCAACGGAAGCGTGTCATCGATGCTCCCTGCAAAGGTGCACGGTTTCCCCCGGGACCGTAGGCGACCGGAGGAAGAGGAGGGGGAGGAGGAGGAGGAAAAAGAGGAGCAGGAGGAGGAGGAGGAGGAGGAGGAGGAGAGGAGAGGAGGAGAGAAGAGAGGGGGGAGGGGGAGGAGGAGATGGAGGAGGAGATGGAGGCAGGAGGAGGAGGAGGAGGAGGAGGAGGAGGGGAGGAGGAGAGGGGAGGAGAGAGGAGGAGGAGGGGGAGGAGAGGAGAAGGACGGGTCGCCGAAGCCCTTCGGAGAAACCCTCCGCCCTGCGGAAGTGGACGGGTCCCCCCTTCCGCAGCACACCCTTCCGTGGATGCGGCCGGGGACCCCGCCCGGCGTCCGCCGACGGGCGCAGGCCCCGCAGGAGCTGCGGCCCCGCAGCACACCTCTCGCAGAACCGAGGCAGGGCGACGCGCGGATCGTCGCGGCAGAGGAGGAGGAATGGAGGAGGAGGAGAGAGGCGGAGGAGGAGGAGGAGGAGGCGGAGGCGGAGGAGGAGGAGGCGGAGGAGGAGGAGGAGGAGGCGGAGGAGGAGGAGGCGGAGGAGGCGGAGGCGGAGGCGGAGGAGGCGGAGGAGGCGGAGGAGGAGGTGGATGCCATGACCATGGACACTCTAACACTCCAAGCATTGAGTCAAAGAAGCGTTCACCATGTGGTTAAACCATGTTCTGACAATGCTCACACCATCTTGCTGTTACATGTTTCAGGCATGTTTGAAACATGTTTCAGACATCTGGAAATGATTTGGCAGCACGTTTCCTCTCCATCTATCGACTTCCACAAGTCTTGGCACGGTGGGGGTTCTATCAATCTCCGACCTTCCCCCCCCCTCCCGTTTGCTTCCAGGCGGGCCGTGCCGCCGCGCTTGCTCTTTTCGAACAGGACTCTTCCCAAACGCCAGGTGCGGTTCAGAAGCGCGATCCACCTCGGGGGACTCGGGCTGAGACGCAACATGGGCCGCGGAACGGACGAAACGGAGCCTGGCGGGAGAGCTCCCCACGACTCCGCCGCACGAGGGCCAGCATGTGCAGAACGGCTTCCGCAGAGGAGGAGGAGGAGGAGGAGGAGGAGGAGGAGGGGGGGGGGATGGGGGAGAGGGGAATCCGATGCGGTCCAGAACGGTGCTCGGGGTCCCCGAACTCGCCCAAGAGAGGCTCTGAGAGAGTCGAGGAACTCACTCACAGGCCCGTTTCGCTTAGGGCCCGCGCGCTTCTGGGCGAGCCGTGCCGCCACGCCCTGCACAATCCCGCGGCGTCTCCTCCTCCTCCTCCTCCTCCTCCTCCTCCTCACCACCACCACCACCACCACCACCACCACCACCACCACCACCACCATCATCATCATCATCATCATCATCATCATCATCATCATCATCATCATCGTCATCATCATCATCAGCAGCACCAGCAGCAGCAGCATCAGCAGCATCATCATCATCATCATCATCAGCATCAGCATCAGCATCAGCATCAGCATCATCATAATAATCATCATCAGCAGCATCATCATCATGATCTGCATCATCAGCATCATCATCATCATCAACAACATCAACAGCATCATCATCGTCATTGCCGTCGTCATCACCATATCTTCGTCGTCATAACCATCACCACCATCACCACCATCAGCATTATCATCATCATCATCATCATCATCATCAGCATCATCATCAGCATCGTCATCATCTTCATCATCAGCAGCATCAGCATCAGCATCATCATCGTCATCAAACCATCAGCAGCAGCATCATCATCGTTATCACCATCATCGTCATCATCATCATCATACTCAGCATTGGCAACATCATCATCATCATCATCAGCATCAACAGCATCGTCGTGGTGATCGTCACCGGCAGCATCACCACCCTCGTCATCATCATCATCATCAGCAGCAGCAGCAGCATTATCATCATCAGTATCATCAGCATCATCATCATCATCAGCAGCAGCACCACCACCATCATCATATCTGCTCCTCCCTCCTCATCCCCCTCCTGCTCCTCGTTCCCCTCCTCTCCTCCTGCTTCGCCGTCATTCTGGACCATCGCCTCTGGAGCCCAGGTGTGGCAAGTCTCTCTCCTTGAATGCAGCCTTCTCCAACTCGGTGAAACCCGCGAGCCCGTCCCTCTCGAGCCGTATCCGCCACTGGCCCAAGACGTAGCGGAGGAAGTGCTGGCAGCGCGCGCTCTCCCCCGAAAAGACAAGGGAAAGAGAAAGACGTTGCGCCTCGCCTCCAAACTGCTTACTATCCGCCGGCCCCCTTGTGGGGCCACCAGGCTGTAGGCGCGGGATTCGCAGTTTCCTGTGTCAGTTGTAGCTTGTAGTTTCCAGTGTTACAGTTCTGCTTCTTGCTGGTTACTGTAACTAGTTGATTGACCGCGCGAGGGGGGGGGAGGCCCAAACCAGATATTTAGCACCTCGTGGGCGTGTTGTCTGGATTGCTGGGGGGGCTCGAAATCCACACCCCTCACGCAGATCCGCGGGGTCAGGGTCCAAAAACACACGGGATTTGCTACATTTCTGAAATTCGGTGCCACCCCTCACGCAGATCCGCGGGGTCAGGGTCCAAAAACACAAAGGGATTTGCCACATTTCTGAAATTCGGTGCCACCCCTCACGCAGATCCGCGGGGTCAGGGTCCAAAAACACAGGGATTTGCCACATTTCTGAAATTCGGTGCCACCCCTCACGCAGATCCGCGGGGTCAGGGTCCAAAAACACAGGGGATTTGCCACATTTCTGAAATCGGTGCCACCCCTCACGCAGATCCGCGGGGTCAGGGTCCAAAAACACAGGGATTTGCCACATTTCTGAAATTCGGTGCCACCCCTCACGCAGATCCGCGGGGTCAGGGTCCAAAAACACAGGGATTTGCCACATTTCTGAAATTCGGTGCCACCCTTCACGCACATCCATCGCAAGGCGTGGTAACCCAAACTGCGAGAACTCCCTCGGCCCTTTAATCGCAAGGTGTGGTAACCAAGCCCGTAAACCATACACGTCTTACCAATCGCCAGGTGTGGTAACCCCTCTTGTGATCAGTTGGTTTTGCTGATTGCGAATCGGCTTCGCATGAAGTTTCGATACTGCTTCACGACAGCGCCAAGGCCTCATGACTTAGCTCTTCCATGGCCCATTCTCCGAGAGAGGGGGCCGGCGGCAGGGGGCGAAGCCCTTACGGATAAAAGAAGGTATTGACCTGTGTGGGCCCCAAACCGTGAGTTGTTGCACTAAGATGGGTAAGCAATGCTGCGGAAGCTGCGCGGTGCATGCTAGGTGGCTCATTCTATGTGAAGCAAGCGATGTGGTCAAAGAGGCTATGTTGTGCAGGCTATGCGTACGTAGTACAAAGTATGTTGCCCAGCGTATGTGGTGCAAACTATGTGGTCCACGCTGCGTGGTGCAGCTGTGTGGTGTCAACTACGTGGCGCCAGCGAGGCGGATGAAGGAACGGGGGGGACGGAGGCTGCGAAAAAAAAGGTTATGGTTAAGATTTGCTGCGTTGCTGCGCTTGGGTTTGCCGCAGGCAGCTGCATATACGGTGTGCCCCCCCATACCTGACACGTTATTCTGGCAGGCGGGGATGGAGAGGTAGAAACAGGGGAGATTGGAAGAAAGAAAAGGAGGGAGGAAGGGAATGAGCAGCAGAGAGGAGTGAAAGGAAGAGGGCAAGGAGGATGAACTGACTGACAACCCACGCGGGCGGGCTCAACGTCTCCCGGGCACTGGACTAAAATTGTGCACTGCGGCAGCCCTGAAGCTGCCGATGTGCTCGTGGAAGAGTGCTGTACTATAATATGATATGCGGGAGGACGGAAAGGTGCAGGTGGAGGAGGAGGTCGAGCGTGGCCTGCAGGGTGAGGAGGAGATAGAGGAGAACGCAGGAGAGAGGAATAGCGAGGAGGGGGACGCGGAGGAAGCTGGCGAAGAGGCTGGCGAGGGCGGAGAGGATATAAGGGGAGAGGAGGGTGAGGGGTTAGGATAGGATAGGACCGATCGCGAAGCGAAGTGAACGGCACCCGACCACCACCTGAGCCATTGCTCGGGCTGAATCGGGCTACTCCCCTCTGAGCTCGAAATTGAAGCAGACGAACCAGAGGGCGTAGAACAGGAACCAGCACCAACTACGTAAGACGAAGACGTCCGAGGAGCACGGATGATACCTCGGATGAATCCCTCCCCATTGAGAGCAGCCAACTGCGCAGAAAATCAATTCACGACGCGTGACAACACAAATGAGTTCATTCCTTCTCCCATCCACCAAGAAGGCGCCAATTGAAAAAGACCTGAGACAGAACCGTTCAAATGACTCCGCACTGATATGACCAATGGCTAAGCTGAAGTGAGTTTGACTCTATGAGGCCCTAGCCGTGCCGCCGAAGCAACACTGTCGATCACTGGGCTAACTCCCCAGAAGGCAGGAGCTCGCCTCGCCCACAGACCGCCTCGCCCCAGTCGATCAGAAGAAGAGCCACCAACATCTGGAGCCCCAGACCTGCTTGCCCACCGAGACACTCTGCACGATGAGCGGGGAAAACTGTGAACCAATCCATTGAAACAACCATCCATTGATGCACGGCTCAGAGTACGGACGGCCGGCACGTCCCCATCCAAGCAGACAGTGAAAGGCTGAATACCAACGCCACCACCAAAGGCACGGCTCAGAATACGGACGGCCGGCACGTCCCCATCCCACGAACCAGGGAATCGCCATGCAGTGACAGCTAAAAGATTGGAATACGAATTGAAATGCTGCAGCCACTGTCCTTTGCTACCGCTGGCCCATGACAACACTGAAATTGATAATGCGCCGACGGGCCGCGACTTGCTCCCACCTGCCTGCCTGCTGCCACCAGACGTTATTCTCGCACGCGCTGATCCGAGCAGTGTAGCTGATGCAGTCGGCCTCGCGCCTACCCATCTGGCTCTGCAGCGAGAATCCGCTGCCTCTGATTGCCCTTCTCGCACGTGCTTGAGAGAGCGTTGTAACGGATGACGGTCGGCACAACCTTCGGCTCCCACATTCTGCACATCATCGCCAGGGCACCCCAAATCTGCACACCGTATGCGCCGAGTCCAGTACTGTAGATGAGGATGACAGGAGCCGATGCGCTCAGGATGCATACCAACAACAGGAGGCAAGAGCAACACTAGCAAAGTACAAGCCATAATCGATGAATCCTTTTGCTGAAACTGTTTACCTCGATTTAGCCAACGCGATCGACTGCGCACGCGGCCCAGGAGACGCGTTGCCACTCAAGCGCCACGTTGAGGCATCGAGGTGCGACTCATGTCCAAGCGATAAGCCAAAAGGGGGCCTACGGAATGGACGGAGCCACATGTGCTTGAGGAGAGGAGGGTGAGGGGAGGAGGAAGGGAGGAGGGAGGACGAGGAGGGAGGAATATGGAGAGGGGGTGGGGGGGGGGGGGGGCGAAGCGCGAAGTACGAGAGAGCGGGGAAGGAGCAGGCGGACGAGAAGGCAGAAAGCGAGAACAGCGCACCAGAGGACCGCTTTTTCGGCCGAGCGCAAGCCCGCCTCGCTGGTGACTCAGGTTTCGGTGGGTGCACGGCGACGTCGGACGACGCTGTGCCTCCTAGAGGCCGCTCCTCCCCCTCCTCCTCCTCTTCCTCGTCCTCGTCGTCGTCCTCGTCGTCGTCGCCCTCGTCGTCGTCGTCGTCGCCGTCGTCGTCGTCGTTGTCATCCTCCTCCGCCTCCTCGTCGTCGTCATCCTCGTCGTCGTCGCCGTCGTCGGCAACCTGCTCCGCGTCCTCGTCCTCGTCCTTGTCCTCGACCTCCTCCTCCTCCTCCTCCTCGTCCCCCTCCTCCTCCTCCTCCGCCTCCTCCTCCTGCTCTTCCCCCTCCTCCTCCTCCTCCTCCTCCTCCTCCTCCTCCCCTCCTCCTCCTCCTCCTCCTCCTCCTCCTCCCCTCCTCCTCCACCTCCTCCTCCTCCTCCTCCTCCTCCTCCCTCCTTCTCATCCGTCTCCTCCTGCTCCTCCCCCTCCGCCTCCTCCACGTCCTCCACGTCCTCCACGTCCTCCACGTCCTCCCCCTCTTTTGTTGCGTCTCGCCCTCCCCCTCCGCAGCTGCGTTTGGCTCACGGCCCGCGCCGTGGGGCACCCCGGGGCACCCCGTCGCTGGCAACGCCCGCGCGCGGGCCCCGCGCCGCGGCGCCGCTCGGGGCCGCCCCTGGCAAGTGCCGCCCGCGGCGGCCCACGCCGCCGCAGGGCCTGGCCGCCGCCGCTGCACGGCGCTCTGCCGCACAGGGCCCCACGGTGGCAGCGGGCCTCCTCCGCGCCGCCGCGCGTGCCGCCCGGCGTGCCGCCGCCCGCCCAGGGCGCGGCGGCCCCGCCCGGAGGCGCCGCCAGCACCGCGCCGCCGCGGCGGCGCGGGGCGGCGCGGGCGAGGCGCGCGAGCAGCCCAGCGCTCGACACGGCGGCGGCCGGCACGGGGCGAAGCGCAGGGACGAGATCGCACCGGGGTGCACCGCACGCGACAGGGGGGCCGGACTGCGCGCCAGCGGCCGGCCAGGGGGTGCCCGGGCGCCAGCCGAGGGGCCGAGGGCCCCGCGGCCGTGGAGTCGCAGGCGGCGGCCTCGGGCCACGGCGGCCAGCGCGCCTGGCCAGCAGCGGCACCACGTCGGCGGGCACGCCGTGCCGAGGAGCCACGTCGGCTGCCAGGCCCTCGGGCAGCGGGCGCCGCCCCGCAGCTTCTCCGCGAGGCCGCAGACCGCTGTGACCAGCTCCTCGCGGCCACAGCGGAGGCTGCCGGGCACCGCGGTCGGTTCCTCGCTGCACGCGCGGGCCGTGGGCAGTTCCACAGGTCCTGCTCTGCAGGGTCGGTTTTCTTGTGGCGGCGGGCGTGAACAGATCAGTGCTTCCACCTCCTCCTCCGCCTCCTCCTCCTTATCCTCATCCTCCACCTCCTCCTGCTCCTCCTCCTCCTCATCCTCCTCCTCCTTCTCCTGCTCCTTCTTTCCCTCATACTCCTTCCCCTTTTCATTCTCCTCCTCCCTCTCCTCATCCCCCTCCTACTCCAGCTGATCTCTACTGCTCATGGCCCTCTGGAGACCGAGGACATCCAGAGGCCTCCACAGACATCAGGGGACTCCTGTGCACCTCTGGAGACCTCCAGCGACTTCGTGGTCATCGTCGTCGTCGACGTCGTCCGTCG